GGGGGGGGGTGGTGGCCGCCGTGGGCGTGGCCTCGCGTCATTAATCATGGCTTTTATTAATGATGTATGCAGCGAGGTTTTATTGAGTTGTTAGCGGCCGTTATTAATATTGTGACGCAGGTAAGTTTTCAATTAATTATGCCATTCCGTGTTTAATATCATATGCATCGCTCGGCTCGGCTCGGGTCGCCGACGCGACGGCTCACTCATCTTGGAAAAATGATCTGAACTTTTGAAGTTTTCAGACGAGGTGAACTTGGAAGACCATTTTACTCCCATCTTAGTAGATTTGGATCGGTGGATGACGTTTCATAAAATAAAATTTAAAAAAAAAAATAAAAAAATCATGTAAGGCCAATTTGACAGACAGAATACAAATCCACTCAAAAATACTCAGAGATGGCTCGTTTTTATTTTGTCATTCAGTGGATGATAAAAAGACTAAAGTGGCGTAATTTCAACGGAAATATTGTTGAGTGATGAATTCTGATGATGGTGTGTGTAAGTATAAATACGGTTTATGTATCTCGTGTGAAGCCTGCAGCCTAGGAGAATGAACATCGCCATTTGTAAAGTATCAGGGGGGAAAAAAAACAGGAGAAGAAAAAGAACTTTATTGCTCTTTGATTTGTGATATTTGCCGAAATGTATTGCTTTTTGATTGGTCAGAATATCCTAGAATCCACAACTTAGGAGATTTTCTCTTGAATCAAGGGAGAAATGCTTGAATGTAGAGGATAGAATGCGTTTATCAAAGAAGTCCCTCCGGATAAAACTTACTTCAGGATGTACATTTATCATGCAGCCCTCATTAATCGATTTTAAAGTTCCTCCGTCTCAAAACCGAAAAGCTACTAAATAATTATACAAATCGAGCCGAACTACTTTTTTAATATTAGAAAAGTTATTTAGTTCTTTTATTCTTAATACTGTTCAAATAATGCTGTTAAAAAATTTACCGTCATCGTTTCTCGAAATCATCTAAAATATTTCCCTTGCTTTTTTTTTGGGGGGGGGGGTGGCTAAAAAGGGAATGCCAAAAATCAGTATTTACAAAAAAAATCCATTTGATCTATAGAACACCTGTAAATGGATCACATCACCAATGACTCACAGTATTTACTGCTAAACTTGGAGACCACGTACCGTTTCATAATTTCCACTCCTGCTTTATCAATTCAAATGAAAACAAGCTTTTGGTACTTGAAATTTTCAATACAAATATTCTGTAACGATAGAAGAAAAATCGTTGATATTTTCACGAAACCAAGTCAATTATTATGTGTCTCATCAAAGAATAGACTATAGCAAGCAAACCGCAACGTCGCAAACTGTGAGATTCGCGGTTTTTCATTGTAGGCATCCATTCGTAGAGAGATTCACACTGTATTCTGCTAAATCAGATCAATCGTCACGTTAATAATTTAATCAGTGAGAACGAAAACACTCCGACTCGGAAAAATGAAAAGAATCAAGACACACACAAAACCAAACAGTAAATGAAGAAATTAGTCTAAGAAAGAGATTTTGATGCCGAAATACAAGCACTTAAGGGCATTTTAAAGGTCAAAGTTGGAACATAATGCGCTAACCTCAATGACTTTTATAAAAATTGACCGTCTCTAATGAAAATTGAGCAATTTCGAGTTACCGAGTTGGTGTGTTTTCGAACTCACTGATTCCATTATTTGTAGCATCCCTAAGTTTACTTTTATTTCTAAATGTATTGAATGGAATCATATATTCTTCTGATCAAAAACAGACACTGAATAGAAGGGACAAAATACCGGGAGTTGGCCCACGAAGCCCTCAGCACTTACCATACGTGCGGTGTTTCCATGGTAACGATTGTTGTGTTTATGTTTACATTCTCGACGCCGGCTCCGTTGTCCTGTCGTTGTACCGTGTGGAAAGTAGTTATAACATGTCATACTGCAAATTTAACAAGTATCCTGAATGGTAAAATGTTGCATATTTCGGTGTTTTCTTGACGCGTTACAGCCATGTTCTTCTTCTCAATGAACGAGATTAAAAATCCTCCCTAAAATGTCACTATATCCTTCTGCATGTTTGTACCTTTAGACTAACATCCAAAGTGTGTGCTCCTTAATTTATTAGTGCCTCCATAACTTGTCAAAGTTGTAATTCATCACTTGACTGTTAAAATGTCTGGATTCAGGTAATTTTCTGAAATTAATGGTACTGTTGTGTGTACAGAGTGTTGATGTTTGTTTGCTCACATCAATTATTATACTTTCAAAAATGTATTTGAACGATGGCCATATGAATGTTTCTTCGTTTGGTTTTCTTAACTAAATTGCATTGAATGTTTTTAAAAACAAATATAATATGAACTTAAATGTATTCACATGCTCTCATAACTAAGTGTAGCTAGATCTACACTTGTCGAGGACTATGTCAAGGAAAAAATGTGCACAGAGAAAACTTAACCTCTTTCTCTCTTTTTCTTCTATACCGACAACGAAAACACATTGAATAATTTTTCTAGAACTAAATAAGCACATATCCATACTCATACACGTGTGATGGTTAATTTTTGATCTGAGCAATGAGGAACAAAAATAAAATAATTCAACTCGAATTTATCTGAAATAAATCAGAGGTTGCCTGTTTTATTCTCTCATTTAACATTGCTAACAGGAAACTAGACGGGAAAGTGTCAACATAAAGTGAGGGTGCTATTTTACATGTGGAAAAAATTATCAGGAAATTTCAAAGTGTCAGGTTGTTTAGATTTCTACCATATAGATAAGACATAAGAGGAAATTAGGCAATGTTACACACAGTAAACTGATTTTGGTTGAATTTATCCAAACAACATTGTATTTTTATATCCAAACCTGCCCCATGCGTCGTTACATTACAAGTGATCTCCTATTACAACTGTTTCTCTTCAAAAGACATTCCTGCAAAGCAAGTTGCGATCAACTAGATTGAAGGCACTTCATGTTTGTGACCGCTCAAACTGCAAAAACGGTGACCGAACCGTGGCCGAATAGAACGTTTTTCTTTCATTTTTTTGGAGATAGGTCCGATTTGCAGGAAAAATGTAAGTGGTACTCCTCGACGCAACGAAGCATACCTCTAAGAAGATTAAAAACACCTCGGTGGCTATGAGACTCAATAGTGTCTTATATGGTTTTCATAAGTGCTCGTTTTTGTGCTCGCTGTGTCTCCCTTTAAATATTCATATACTCCTTTCTATCAGCATTTATCAGTCCTGCTCTTTCATACTTAAGCATTTTTTAAAACTCCCGAGTATGCATCTATTGCAAAACTCCATCCTAATATCCATCCTTTAAAAGGCCAAAAAACAAATCATATTTATATCGTGCATATTTATTACTAAAATTAAATTTCACTCATTTGCTTAGCTCAAGAACACTACAGTTTCAACAACCGTGGATCGATGCCTTTTCTGATTCAAATTTGGCTTTGAACACACTACCCTCATGCATCGCATTAGCAGACTTGCAAGATGACGCTGACTCGAAATTAATTGTTGGAGCTTTCGATGAAACTTACACGGACGCTAAACTTAAGGTGCGTAAGCCGTAAATTTCTCTATTGGAGCCGAGTTGTAAATTAACGAGTCAATAAAGTTTATGTATCGATTAATATCATTGATAAGCTCAGTCGTGGCATATCCAGAGACAATCGAGGGCGGAGAGGGCTTTTGGCGACGAAGGAGGTGGGTTCTGAGGTGCGCCTCTGGATAGCCCAGAAAATGCAAAAAGATATCCCCAACTCAAAATGCCAATGTTTTGATGTTCCTCAGTTGGATTACCACTATAGTTTGTCCCTAGTTTCTGAAATATAGTGACATCAGTCACTGTTACCCTGGGGTGAATACTTGTTTTTGACAGAACAATTAAGCGATCGATACAACGTTGCAATAAAAATGATCCTGATTTCAAGTTATTGTTGAGAAATGGCTTAATGTAATGATTTAATTTACAGATATTTAAAGGAACAACCGAATATGGTGAGGTAAAATTACCCGGAACCCCGTCTGCTATACAAACATTTTACTCGGATTTGAATAAAACCAAAATACCAGGTCAGTATAGAATTTGAGCAAATTTTCAAAGTTTTTTCATCAAAAAATTCTTAAATGAAACCCTTACCGTTCAATTTTAAAAACGTCATAAATTCAAGATGTTCTTCGCCCTATTTTTCAAATTAAGTTTAAAAAGTCGGAGTACTTTTGTTGCTTGTATTTATACCTTCGGAACCGTGCCGCATGACAATGGGCCATTTTCAATAGTTTTTTTACGTGGAGTTGTGAAACTGTAGTGACTTATCTGTGTCAAATTATGTCTTTGCGATACATTGTGAGGCAGGAACCCCCCGAGTGCACACATTTTCTTACAGGATTGCAAAATTAAAAGTGAATTTCACGATCCCCTTCTTGCTCCTCATCGAGATTTTTAAGCCACGTTCCTTCAAAAAACTTTTCTATTCACCCTCGTGAAAGTGTCTCGTTCTAGACTCATTTCCAATTTTCAGGCATAGGCGTAGCGTCGGGACCGAACATATATGTCTACAAAAATCTGCGACCCTACTTTAAATTTACGGTGCCACCTCAGTCAGAGGTCAATTCCCTCGAGGCTGACATTTGGCAGCAGAAATGTGACGCTACCCAACTGACGAAGCTTTTGGAGGATCTAAAAATGGAGCTAGGATTCACAAACCTCAGCCCGGCATCGCAAAAGCTTCTCCTTTTAGAACCACACTTGAGGGAACAATTCGTTCAAACACGGGGACAACTTGCATTGGGATTGAGAAGAAAGGTAAGCAGGTTGAAATAAAAACAAACCTCTATTATATGAAGAAGGTAACTCGGATATTTTTTCAGATGCTAAAAATGATCTTGTAAATAATTCTAATGCGGAGCTTATCATTTTGAGGAATAAACTAAAAATGGTAATGAAATGTATTTCTATCAAAATTAATGATTTTTGTTTGAATTTTTTGCAGACTACCATCACATGTATGACATCTATACCAAAATACTCGACAGACGATGAAAAATCTATATCCTGTTTGGTATTTGCTACTGAATGTGCGAAACTCTACTTTCTGGACATCCAAGCCTTCACTATTCTCAATGAATTTTCTGTGAGTTACATCAGTAGATTTATATGGAATCTTTGTATTGGGGGAAGTTTATGAAAATAAGAGGATGTAACTTTTCAAAGTTACCAAGAGATCAATCAAAACTTGAAAGTTCTCCTTCTATCGGTAGATAATGCTTTTACGTATCTATTTATATTTATGTTTTTGGAGGCGTATCAATACAACATTAGATAATGAAGGTGATATGAGAAGACATGATGGATACACTGAATACTTGAATAGCAACAAACGAAACCGAGTGAATACTGAATATCAACGGTAAAAACTCATACCACGTTTGCGACGTTGCAGACTTCCTGTCATATTTTATTTTTTGAATGGAAAACTATTCAACACCGAGATTGGTGACTATTTTACGAAATACATGATATGAAGTATTCACTATCGATAAATATCATGCAATACTGAGCAAGTTCAAAAAGTTCAGGCAAGCTCTTTCCGGAACCTCGTCGCACTATGAACGTAATCAGAGCTTTCATTTATTTTGCGATCCCTGCAGCCGTTGCGCAATCGTACGTACATCTTGACTCTCTCAATGATGCGCGTTCACATGGAAGCTCCATTAACGCAACTTTGAAATAAATATTAAATTCTTTCAGAATTTGATATTTTTTTTTTTGAAGAAAAAACAACAAATAAACAGAGAAATTCCTAGAAGCTAAGTGTGCCATCTACTTTCAAAAATGCAAAAATTATAAATTACTGAACAAGCGCATTATTAGACTGGAAGTTCATTGTGGAATTTGAAAGAACTTCAATGATTATGCCGTGTATTCTTTGTTCCCAGATGCCTGGTATAGCCAGTCACCTGGCTATTTCGGGGCTGTATGTTGTGAGCTACGTCGTAATATTTACCACTCGTAATGGCTGTTTGTACACGATGAATGAAAAGAAAACAGAGTGTATTGCCAGTTTCAGCGCTCCGTCAATCGGGCTGGTTCTTCAGGGAGATTTCATCATGACCGCCCTTATGGATTCTACCTTACATTGTTTCACCATTCAAGTAAGCACATCCAACAATACTTGTCTTTAATAGCAGCTATCTGAACAGAATTCAGTGAGATGAGGACGACCCCTTGCTCTTGGTGGATGCGACTATTTCGACTCTGGGGAGCTGTTTTTGCCTACTCGATGACATGAAGGCGAACTACTTTTTGTAACTCTGAGCGCTGCGCACTGTTATCGCTGATTTATATTGATGTGTGGGCAAAAGCATGTTCTGTGCGCAAAAATAGCCCTAATAGAAATAAAATATCATCAATGATCCTCAGAGATAGGGAAATATCTTTAATTTTCATCTGTGCAATGTCACTGGATTGTCATACAGTCATTTGTGTTTCTTTACTGAAAAATTCTGACACGAAAATTCAATTCAAGGAAGCAGGAACGCACCATATTACAATCCAGCAGACATACTGTCGCAGTGGTCGTTGATGAGGGTCTTTTCACACCTCAGAAGATCATTGATTATTATGTTCCATTTTACTTGGGAGCTGCAGCTTCGGAAAAAAACTAAGATGTTTATCGTTCGTGGGAGACTATTCGAAAAATTGAAAACTTATCAGAATGATGCACACTTTAACATGACCAGCGTTACCCGTGTTGTTCACTTGTGTTGTCTATTCAAATAAAAGTGTTGTTCACTTTTTTCACGATCAGGAAGTTTCATATACATTGTATATATGTAGCTAGAGATGTAGATACCCCCATTCGTGTTGGTTCCACAGTAGAAAAACATTTGATCTTTTATAATTTTCTCAGGGTATGAAGCAGTGGAGTGTGGAATTACCGGGCATACCTATCACTTTAGCCTCAATTCCTATAATGAGTTTATCGCTGAAACTGGTTGCAGTTTCGTGCCGGTTTAGGGACGAGAAAACCAGTCATTTGTTCTTTTATTCGGGCCCTCAGCTTATGCATTCAATTGCGACCCCACAACCTGTGTCCGCAATAATATTTGGTCCGTATGGTCAAGGAGAAAGCGCTCTCATCACAATTTCAACAAGTACGTGATCCTACAAATGTTTTAATTTGAAAATCAGATGGACTATTGCAACTAAACTTGGGTCTCTGAGTGAGCGTAAACAATTTTTTGTTCTCATTTTGTAGATAGTAAAAAGTTTACTTTTCAATTATAATATGCTAACGTACGGCGCAAATTATTCTTGACAATCCTAGTCGAAAATTATAAAGTCACATGTAAGATAATCTGATAACCCAGAGAGAAGGACCAGTCAGTATAAATCAGTTGCAAATTACTTTTGTTACATCAGGGTTATGTTAATTACTTTTAGCCACCTCTGTAGGATTAAAAATAACTTAGAAAAGTTAGGACGTGCGTACTATCCCTTCTGAGCCCGTGCGTTGACTTTACTCAACTAAAACTACATCTGTAGAATTTTTCCCATTTCTTCTTGATTTTCACACTGATTTCCTTAAACTTCATTAAGTTTAAAAATTTGGACCTTTAATGTGGAACTCAATGTAAAGATAAGGAGAATCAGGGCTTTGACAGCTTATGATCCACTTCGATAAAAATACTATTACCTATATCATATTTTAGTAATGATGCATTGGTTTTCTTGTGTCTCCTAGGGGGCAGTCTGAACATACGGCTATTAAAGAGAACGGCTCAATTTGGATGTGGTGAGAGAGCAGGAATTCTAGCACTGCCTCCTCCTAACTCTCAAATTAAGCTGAATGTTCCCAAAAAAAGCAAGCTCTTGGTCGAACAAACCCTCAGAGAACGCGAGCAAAAGATAGGTGAGCATAGGATATGTTTCCGACACACTTTTTTGGAGAAAAAATGTACAATTTCGGTCAGAACAACACATGCTTTTCATGAAATTCTTTTAGCAATAAGCCCCGCTGAGCCCTTGAGATGGGCATTGGCGGATCCACGTTTTTCTCCATTTAAACCTATGGAAATGTATCGATTCTTGGAAAGGCCGGGTGCTCCGGCAAGAATCGATTATTTAACATAGGTTTAAATGAAGGGAATCCGGTGTTGCCAAATTGCTGGATCCGCCTCTAGAGATGGGCGAATGAACCCCAAACGTGTCAGGAAAAGAATAATTGTTGATCGCAGTGAATGCTTTAGCCTTTTTTTGACTGACACCTCAGTATTTTCATTAAACTCATTCCGTTTTGGTGATTTAAAACTTCTAAAATATATTTTAATCATCAAGATAGTGCCTGTTAATTCAACATCATAAGAAGTTTGTTTGATACACTGGAAAAAAACTACATTGGATCTAGAGTCCAGACTCTTGAAAATATTGATAAGAAAAAATACTCTTCATTCAATCGGATTTCTTCTTGAATCAAAACGAAATCCACTTAAATTACGAGGCTTGGTTCTTGATTTAAGCTAGATTTTGATTGAATCAAAGAGTACTTATTCTTGTCGATGTTTTTAAGAGTCTAGATCCAATGTGTTTTTTTTCCCAGTGTATTTCATTAATACTTTCCTTTTTTCAGAGATTTACGAGCAATGGAAGCGATCGTGGCTCCATCTGAATGTTATGGCATGCGAGGAGTACTTGAAAGCCCTTCAAAGTTCAGCTGTATCTCAAAATAACTCGCTGAAACTTACGGCTCAGGTAAACTTCTTGGCAACTTTTGTAACATTGTTGCTTGTTCAACATGTAATAAAACTACGATGCTTGTTTTTGACCCTTTCTCTTGTCATGTGTTTCTATGTACTGCCTTGCTAAGGAAAAACGCCGTATGAACATTCGAGAGTTGCCAAATTTCCCCGAATGAAATAGGTATTTTTGAGGAAAGTTATGCTTATTTTTCCTTGAAATTTTCAGATATTTTAGATTAAATTGCGTACAAAAACGAAATGCGTTGCGTATTGTTCGAAAATTTTGGAAAGAAATATTCACAAATTTTCCATTAAATTCGGTTTTTATCGAAGGAAATTTGGCAACGCCTAGGGGTTCATAGGGCGTTTTTCCTTAGCACGGCAGTGTACCTGAATGATCGATGAGAGGGACTTGAAAAACTCCACCTGAACTTCGCCTGGTCCTTCCAATCTACAACTTATTTGCATGTTCCTCCATGTATATGATATCGACATTGTCGAGAACTGTAAAAACACGCATCCTAGTTTACGACACGTGCAGAGTTCCTACTAAATAGTGTGCTTTTAAATGTAAAAATACTCAACGTATTTTCTACAAAACAGGAAAATTAAGCATGGTAACACCTTGAAAACACTCGTGCATATCAATATGAGCCAAAAAAAATTCCTCAGAATCGTTTCCGGCTGGAAAGAATATTTTTCTAGGGTAAAAATTATGAGCATTCGTGCAAATCGCTTCGAAGGTTTTTTTCTTTAAAAACTGGATCCAAATGTAGGAATTCCTGCAGAGACTTTAATAGAGCGTAGAGAAATAGGAATACCGACAAACGGGAGTTCATTGATCAGAGACAATCATTGATGCGCGGAGACATTTTTATTTCAATATTTGAATATGTTGAACCACATGAGGGATTGCCGAGACGGCAAAATACAGGAATCACTTTAGAGACTTTAACGCATGTACAGAAAAGTAAGCGTACTGACAAATGAAGTCGCTTGATGTGGTAATGTTAAAGTAATGTAGTGGCAATTTTGCAAGTTGGCACACCGTTGTGTCTCCTTTAAATCCATTAAAAATTTTTATTTTTGGTGAGGCAAGAATCGATTGTCATACATACAGTAAAATGTAGGAAATGCAATGTTGTCAACTTTCAAGAATCGCCACTGTAGTTTAATAACTTGACGGTTAATGAATTTTTGGAGAAAGCGTCCAGGAACACGATAAAGCTGCAGCTTAACGATGAAAAAATGGATTGCAAAATTCGTTTTAAATTACAACAAAATTCTCTGATTTAAAGAAAAGAAAAAGGGGCCAGGTAAGTCATTTTTCTTGATAACATTATTTTAGGATATCGTAAGAAATTAAGGGTGTAGAACTGTAGACTGTCACACTGCTTTGCTGGGCACAATAATTAATTATGAACTATCGACGACACCAGCCTATAAAACATCGTTTCAGAGCTGTGGATCAGTAATATATTCTTCTGATTCATCTAACATGGAAAATTATTCGTAGCAATGTAGTTCGCAACTACAGGAAATAAACTTTTTCTCTACTGCTCCTTGTTTTTCAGGTGCTGGGCTTAGGGCCTCACTTAAAGATTCAAGTTTTTCTCCAGAATCTCTCTAAAAAGGAAGCTTTCACTTCACTGACTGTTGTCTTTCATTACAACAAGAGTGTGTTTAAAATGGATTCACCATCTAGACAGGTAACAGAAAGAAAAGAAAATGTTACTTAGGTAATAATATGAGCCGTTTAGAGCGCCCTCCATTCCATTTACCGCAATCCGCGTAGAACGTGTAGGAATAGTTGCATCCTCGCGCCTGAATCACAACGACGGGGTAACCAAGCGAGAAACCCACGAAATCACGACAAACAGTGATTGGATCAGTGAGAACGAATACACACCAACTCGGTAGCTCAAAAATGCTCAATTTTCACTAAAGAGAGTCAGTTTTCATAGAGGTAAATGAAGTTAACGCATCTGTTCCAACTTGGACATTTAAAGTGTCCTTAAGTACATGCCTTTCGGCACCAAAAATCTTTTTCTTGCAGTAACTACTTCAACTACCTACTATGCAGTTTTGCGTGTGTCTTGATTATTTTCATTTTCTCGAGTTAATGTGTTTTCGTTCTCACTGGTCCAATTGAAAAAGTGTGATAAGTGACCTTAGCCCCAACAACTGAATTTGAAAACTGTCGCGATTCAATTTGTAAGAATTTGAAACTGAATACAAACACAGGAGGGAGCACTTATTTGTGCTCCCTGAGTCTGAAGTTCTAAGAAAATTTCTTTACTTTTTTTCCCCGGCTGGCTAAGTGTAAAGCTCTCTTACGATTGAGAAAAGTAAAAACTTTTGGAAAACTGTTCCTACTTTACGATGCGTTGACAAATATCATAATTTTTAATTGATCGGTATCATACATTTTAATAAAGATTAGGTTGAGGAAAAATAAGGCACCTCGATGGCAGGGTTAAAAAAAAAAATATCCACTCTTTTACTCCATGAAAAACACAACTATATCGATGACTAAATGCAAAAAATGCACGTTCTCAATCGCACCACTAAAAATCTCCACCGCAATTATGGTTTACCTAGCTACTTCACAGACAACTAAATAAAATATCTTCTCCCAATTTTGTGTGATTTTTTGGAGTCAGTGGAGAAATCTTGCCGAAACCACTGTGTGTTGCCTACACCTACAATTGAAGGCAAACTGGCATGACGTTAAAGTAACCTCTTCGAGTGACAGCGGCATTTTACGACGATACCACTATTCGACCACGTGAGAGCTGGGGTTGCCTGCACTAAAAATTGAAGGCGAACTGATACGGCGTTGAAGTAACTTCTCCCGATTTATAGTAAAAAGTAACTTTTTTTTAGGGAGTTTCAAGTAAGCGTCCGATTTCACGGCGATCGTTTTTCCAATAATCATTATTATTCGGTAGTAGATATTTAAAAAATTAACTGCACGTAGTGTTCGCTGATCGGCGCGTAATGTAGCGCCTCCTGAGAGCGCCGTGTAGGTACACCTTTTGTCAAGTTAATAAGTTGGAACTTTAATTGTAACTTTTTCTTTCTTCTTTTGTGTTGTTTGTTTTTTCTGCTGCGAGAGCGGGAAGAAATCCAAATTACGACAATTATTGCTTGCATGTCTCAGGAAGATGCGGAAACCCCTGTCAATCGCATGCAACTGGCGGGAACTTCTCCTTAGAAAAATAATACTTTGGGGAAGGGCAAAAAGGCCAGTCTAGAGCCAAATATTTGGACCGCGTTAGGAAAAAAGGACCTAAGCCACATCAGCTATATTGCCAAATTTAATTGGGCAATTTAATTTTTCCATGAAAACGGTTGTGCGGATTTTTGTGTAAATTTCAGTGAAAATTTTGCAAATTACGAAGCAAATTCCTTAAACTTTTCAATGAAATCTGCATAAACGTCTTCTTATAAAAAATTAACTCACCTAGTTAACAATATCTAATGAGGCTTGGTTCCTTTCCCCTTGGTAAAAATTGGCGATAAGAGCTGCGTTTCAAAATACCATAGGAATTCTTATAGCCGGCTAAAGAAGGCTACAGAAAATCATATAGCTGGCTGTAGAATGCGGAGAAAATCATACGGCCGGGCTATACGAAACGACAAAAAATTATGCAGCCGGGCTGTAGTTCCTACGAGTATAGCCGGGCTTTACGCTTTATCGCCTGCCTGTTGCTTTTTCGCCATCGATTAAAAAAGGCTATAAGAAATTGTGTAGAAATTCGTGTGCTCTGGAAATCATTAAGTTTGATACGGAACCACCTTAATATTTACAAAACACACGTTATATTTTCCTTTAATACGTATTTTTTTCATCAATTAAAACGAGAATAATCCATACAGGATGTGCAAACATTTCAAAATCAAGAGTTGAATAACGCTGACTCCGCCAGATTAAATATTAGAGCCTAACACAAAGCGGAGCGGCGACGAACTGGCGCCTACAAACCTAACAGGGATACTTCACGCATTGCGCAACGCATGAAGTATCCCTGTTAGGTTTGTAGGCGCCAAATGCGCGTTTCACGCTGGCTGGCTGGCTGCCTGCCGCACCGCAGCGTGCCACGGCGCTTGAAGCAACTATTTCACACCAGAGGTATTGCACAGTATCATACGAAACTGAAGGCGCTCTAATATATTAGGAATGGCAAGCATCCATCAAAAGTACGGAGCTTTCCTCGCAAAGTAAATCAAGATACTGCGACCCAAATAGAGAGCAGTGGTCCAAAAACTCAATAAGTCCTAGTAGAGTACCTGTATAGCGCTATAAAGGTACTCTAAGTCCTAGCATCTGTAATTAGTGACGTTTAGCATACACTTTATCGCCTGGCTGTGAGTTGCTTAATCGCCATCGGCTATAAAAGGCTATAAGAAATTGTGCAGCCGGCTATAAAAAGCTATTTGAAATCTTACAGCCGGCCGTAGGTCTATGGTATTTTGGAACACAGATTCTACTGCCAATTTCTACCAGGGTCTGCTAAGCGGGGTCCATTTTCCAGGATAACCCTCCTTTAACACAAATTGATGTTCGTTTAATCTTGTATCCGGCTTATCTCATATCCACATTGATCAACTTAAATGATGTGGACTGCTTTATTGTCTCTGCGCCATTGTATGGAAACTGTTTTGCCTAAAATTCGAATCTTCCTCTTTTTTCTAAATTAGGTGCCAATGCTGGTTCCAAATTACGAGTGTTGCGTTGAGTCATACATTGTGTGCGAAATGAGTGTCAGCAGCAATGTAACGGTTCTGGTTTTTGATGAACAACTCCGACTGTCAGCATTCATCAATATCCCGGCATGCAACTGTATCTGCTCATCGCAATGAAGGAAATTTCTTCTCATACGCAAGTGCACAAAGGAACCAGAAACTTGCTCTAGCATAAGATCGCCTTCGAAATTTTATGTACAATTTTACGTGAAATTTCGATCACATTACTGAAGTTCCTGGAATTTCCTGATGAATAGCCTGAGATGTTTCTTTGAAATTTCACTGAGATTTCAAATTCCTATTTTTAATGGAATTTTTGATCTCAGTTTATCCTGTCCGGCATTTTAAGAATTGTAAGGCATCGATGATGAACTTGACTAAACCACAGGTAAGCACCAACAAAACAGGTTGACTCTCAACGAAGGACAAAACTTTGAGGAGGACGTTGTTCAGATGAAAGAAATCCACCCCCCAAAAAAAAAAAAAAAAAAAAAAAAAAATTGTAGAACTTTTATAGCTCAGTAGGGATGACGCGATGGATTAAGTTCAATATGGTTGTCAAAAATGATGGCTCAATCATAATTTCTGGGAAATATTTTGCATACATAGCAACAGGAGCTCTTTTGTTTTTTGTGTTGAACTTATTGCTTTTTAATTCATTTTCATTAGGAACTTGTCTCTAAATTAAATATTTAATGATAAGACTCCTTAATCATTATCATTTCTCAGAACTCACGGTGGAGTTATTACATTGGCTGACAGAGTCAGCATGAAAATCGAAGTAGCCCATAAAAGCATCCTTTGTGATACAATTTAGGGAAGAGGGAATCTGAGAAAATAGAGAAGAGAGGTATTAGTTGCACATAGAATTTTTTATTTAGAAACAATTGACTAAATGTGATCATTTGAAAACTAAACAAGACCAAAAAAAAATTTGAAAAAAAAAAAAAAACAAATGAAACTACATAAGATGAAAAAAAGGAAAAAACACACAAACACAGATAGGTGCCTAAGTAATTACATGATACACATGACACAACGTTCAGAACCTACCTGTCATCATAATATTGCTATTTGTACATCAGATTCATCTTGAGTCTTTTAATATCTTTCTATACAAGCCCAGTTTAATAACAATGATTAATTGGATTTTTTAAAACCTATTAACTATGAATTATAAAACAATTTGTTGACATAAAAACAATTTAGATTTTTGTCTAATACTCTTATTCTCCCTTGTTCTCGCAGAAGTATTTTTAAAGTTGGCACTACATCGGCTGGTAAGATACAGGTGACATGGTGACACAATAGTGACCCATTTTTTTAAAATGTTCAAGAGGAAAACCTGAATCCAAGAGGCACTACTGAGCATCACTACACATCGACTGTGAAACTGAAAAATGCGGATCTCGATTGCAGTGATCCAAAATCTTCATTTCTATTTCATTTTCAAAAGGAGACCAAACCAACTTCATGACCTTAAATTTCCACAGAAGATTCTTCTCAAAAAGAAGAAAAATCACCGACATTTTCGTTCAGTAGTTTTCTGGGTAAACAATAAAATATGGCAGGAAGTTTGCGACACCGCAAATCGAAATATACATTTCTGCAGTTTCACCATCGCCATGTTCTTCAAAATATCCTCTAGAGACAAATCTTCTCCAGAAAACTCACAAAAGAAAAGTAAGTACTGAGATACATGAGCTTCTAATGATACTTTAAAATGAAGGTCTCAGCAAGGAATAGACACCAAGGTGAATTTTCAATAAAGCTAGGAAAAAATCAAACTCAACAGTAAAATTGATCATAAATCTTTGCTGGAGAGTTTCTTTCAGAAAACTACTTGCAGCTTTTAGAACATATAACAAATCTATAATCTATAAAACTCACTACTGAACCAAGAAAAAGGAAAGAGCATATAACAGGGAATATAATTTAAGTTTGATTGCTCAAGACTCAATAAAGTCTCATTCCATCGGGATGAATTATTAGGTACCAAACTAAAAAATGTTAATGAGGTGAAATATTATTTCACTGCTCTTTCACATGTTTGAAAGAGACATTTCCACCCTTGGAGAGGAAAAATCTCATGTGCTTCATGCATTCGCACTGACAGATGAATATAAGTCTAGCTCCATGTAACATTTTATACTGCTCCTTTTCCATTAAATTCACTGACTATAAGTCTGAAATCATCTGATAAATTATCAGATTGAATATTTCAGGAAAAGAGTAAGATTTCAAAGAATTTTTTTTTTTGGTACACCACAATTAAAGTAGAAAATAAATTTTTGCAAAGGCATTTTCAAATTACAACAAGAATCTTACATTTTCAGCATATCTGTAGAAATGTTGAAGGAATTCATACTTAACCAACAATGTTAGCTAGATGACAAACCCCCTGTTGAAGACAGTAATCTTCAAACAGAACCCACTTATTTCCCCTTTAAAAATAAACCGACAATTTTCTTGTGCAGCATATGCTCTTTACCAAGACTTTGCACTTAAATCTGTAGCATCTTATTGACAACATTCCCAAGATCACAATTTACTAGAATATTTACTGGTTTAATAACAACGATGCTAAAACTAGAATGCTACACAGTTTAAAGGTGAACACGAATTTAAGGTTCCTAAAAATCCTACGTGAATTTTTTTTCTTTTTATTTTTTAATTTACAATGTGATTTTATCCTTCTCCTTTTTCAAAGTGATACAAAGTTGAGAATAAGAGACAGAGACAATATATTTTGGAGACCCCGTACTGACAATCAAAACTATTTTAACGGGTGAAGTAGAAGTTTAATCTGGAGGTCGACACTACTCTCTGACTTTCCGCCTAATGATGATTGATGCACAACTTGTTGAGCGTAAAATCCAACAAAATTTGTCAAATGATAACTGATGAATGTCAAAGCAAGCAATTTGCTAGGCAAAATGCTGCAAAGTAAGTTTGGATTGCTAAACCAATTGTTCCACTCTTTTGTCATCAGTCATAATAGGGAGATTCTGAAATTTGACTTCTGAAAGTGACTTTTTCACTACTGGGAATATAACAGTGTGGGGCTCTAAAATATATTTACTCTGATAAGAAAAGATAAGGAGGAAGGGCTGATGATTTTACAAATGAGATTTATATTATACATTTCTGCAGGATTTAAACATCTGAAGGGGGGGGGGGCGCTCTACCTGTATTATCCACTTGAATGGGTGCTTAAAAAACTTAGTGAACCTTTGAATTTCAGGTAATATAAATCCAAATACAATACACACTTCTTTTGAATATATTTCTTTCCTAAGTTGTAAAGCAGGCTTTTGTCCAGATATAATGATTATGACAAGTTTCATTACGTTTCTATTACTGTACAAGACTCTACCGTGTCGATGAATAGTCAAAGAGCCTGGTGAGCAGTGCAAGCTGTAGTGCCAACTGAGCTACAGTGGTAGTTGCCAAGGGACAAACTGAATGTTCAGCCTGTTTTATATTTGATGAAGGTCTCCAACACTCAACAGTTCTCAGGAGGCTGCAGGCATCTTTCAAAATTAATTTTTGGAATATCTGTGGCAAAACCTAATACCTAACACTTTGATTCAGAACTTGAAATCAAAGCTGTGCGGACAAAGCACAAAATCTTTTTTTGGAGTCATTGTCATAAGTTAGTGATAACAAGGATAAATATAAAAAAATCTAGGATCTTATTTTGGCTTCTAGAATTGAACATAACTTTATCATACAACTAGAGTGCCTTGAGATGAGGAGAATTTATGATAATTATGTTATGAAGTTATTTGTTCCACAATGAGAATTTTCGATAAATTATTTGATCGTCATGATAGGGATAACAAGGATTCACTAATATACCAGGCTCCATTGAGAGGATTTGCCTTGTAATTTAAAATAAAGAATGAATTATGCTGAACTTCAGCGTCTTGAAAATTTACAGAGCTTAGCCATGAGCACTTTCTAGAGAACACAAAAGCTGATAATAAGCAAAACCTATTGATTTAATCTTTTCAATGAGATCGCCAAGAAATACACAAAAATAGCCCCTGATACAACAGAACAACAAATAACTGGATTCCACAGGATTGAAAAAAATAAACTAGTTAACACATTTCAATCTTTGTTTTCATTTTTTTTATTATGCCTAAAAATACTATTCTTCCTATTGTCTCAGACTAAAAAGACTCAAATCAGACATAATTAACTAATATCATTTTTTAATACGTTTTAATTCACTACAGGTCACATGATTTCCTAAACCTACATACCTACTATTCTACTCAGGACTAAAGTAAACTAGGAAAAAGAAGTATGTAATTCATTATGCATTATGGATAATTTAATCTGGATCCTCGAGAAATTCAAAGTGCGCCTGTGTGTGAATTAAAATTAAAACCCAGAGAGCGCACGTTCCTTTCAAGGCTCCAAGAAATCTGGCAAAACTTCATCACCGGTAGAGCAGCGCCGTATTCAGGAAAACACTAAATTTATAGCAGAGACTTTGAGCAAAAGGGTTGTACCTACATTTTTCCCCTTACAAATCTTGGAAAAATTTGTCTGGTGCTCCCCATCACTTTTCTTGAAATTTGCAATTTTTGAAGTTTTGTAGCTCATGTCCAGCGTTGGATACTACAACATAGTTTCTTCACACATATTTAACTTTAAAATACATATATTGAACATACGAATGAATTTATTTTTATTGACATTTTAGTTGCAACCCTTGTGCTCTAAGGAACTGATATATCAAGTCCTGCGCAAGACCCTTCAATTGGAGTTTGTGACAAATTAGTGTAGCAATATTTCTGTGTGGATATAGCAGGATATATTTTGAAGACCTTAGAAGCCCTTAGACATTTGCAATGTAAAATTAAGTTCACATTTTTTTTCCTTTCAGAGAAAAATTCCTTCATTATTATTTGGGTGGATAAAATGAGAATTCAATTTACAACGTTAACATAGTAACAAATGAGAACATAGGTACTTAAACACTCATACTAGGTTTCTAGAGGTGCACTGAACAAGTATATCTATTCTACCACTTTTTAGTTGATAGAGGAACTGAAACAATTAGATCTTAAAACTTTGGAGAATAACAGTCTTCAATCAAGAAAATTAACTAAATTCATTTTGCACGATAATATAAAGCTGCAATGACTTTGAAAGTTACATAGATTTTATGATTATTAGAAAAAAATAGAAAATCAAAGAAGAAATGAAATTATTGGATTTAGAAATAAAAAGCATTAGATGCAAAAGTATCAGAAAACTTTTGTAAATGATTGAGACGATCATGTCAGCGGATGTTAGTACTCTAATTAATTCATAATTTCACAGAAGGAGGATTGATTGTGAGACTTGTTTTAAATACACCAATTCTTTTAAAAAGCAACTGAGAATAATCTTTGCTCCAAAAAATTTTAACGCCTTGCAGGGAGTGTACTACCAAGAAGTCTACATGTGTCAATACAATCTAATTAATCTTTATAAAGATTAACCCTACATTACTTTCAGAGTGCCTTTTGATTTACAAAAGTTATTCAAGAAATTCAGCATCGCTGGAGAAGAGATGTAACGTTTCTCCAATTTCTTACTACATAATATTCATTTTTTGAAGGTCCTGACACATATTTTTGCAATTGATCAGCTAGGCAAACTTGCTGGACAGTCAAATTTAAGATGCATTTTGACTAGATCATCCAAACAAAAGTACTTTGAACGAAGCCCAACTCAGGTTGCGACAGATATTTAAAAAAATTGAATTCCCTGGCATTTTCCTGACAGATTTTAGTAAAATTCCTGGTATTTGACGATATGCAGGATGGTTAAAAATTAATGCACTTCTGAGCCCAAACAACACAATAATTGTTGTTGTTTGAAACGTCAAACAAATTCTGGAAATTAAGTACAGGGAATTTAATCATTAATCCTTGACACTTTAGCCATTTTTTTTACATTTTCTACTTTGAAATTCTCTAAAATTTCCTGGTTTTCCCTGTTAACCCTGATTGTTGCAACCCTGCTTGACGATATGGTGAAAGATGGGACAAAATTGGAAGGGAAAGCTCTCAACTGATCAACGACAAAAATATGCTTATATATACATAGATGAACTCCCTTCTTCCCAGCCCGCCATCATATTACAGTTATCTATCGTACATCATTAAACAGTTAAAAAATAAAAGGAACTTCACTTATTTTTCAGCTACACTTTATCAGCACAACACCTATTTTTTACAATTATCAGAGATAAGTGGGCTTAAAAATATAAATCAATGGATTTAAAGTTTGAAAGAAACATTCTGGGTATTTTCCAAAATTTTACACTAGAAATATTGAGTTGCATTGAGTTACATTTCTGTTGGTATTTTTCAAGAGTCTGTTACTCTGTTCCTGTAATGATTTGGCCTACCTTTCGAAAAGATAAAATTGCTCACTTTCATAATGGGGGAAAGGGGGGGGGGTATGCTCTACAGACTTACATGGAATTCAAAGTTATACTTCTAAAATAATAACCATACTATTTAATAATGATAGACGCCTATACACCCTAATATTGAGAGGTAAAATGAGAGAACACTGGCAAACTCTTTTTACTACAAGCTTCCCGTAAAGCTTGTTTTTTTATTTAAGAAAGTCCTCAAATGAAAAATTTGGGAACTATTGGAACTCATGATTTCATTAGGCTGATCTAAAAGAGGCTTTAGTTTTTTGGTCTTGTGTATTAAAAATGTTACATTAATATTTGTAGGTTGTGATCATACACAAAAATAATCAATGAATCATAACTAAAGAATAAGCGCAACACATCAGGGGAAAATCAAGATGAGGACCTATTGTCAACGTTTCAAAATCTCATACGAAAAGTCCCACAGGAAGTAGTAAGATTTATGTCCAGAAAATTTTGTACCGAAGTTCATGTGCTAAAAGCACTCAAAGCGTTCATGACATTATTTTTCAACAAAATCTTTGAGCAACTTTTACTTTTGAGTTAAAAAAATTTACACAATCTCTTCCACATCGCTCACATTCACCAGAATTAACGCCTTCCTGAGGGCCAAAGCAGATGTAATAACAGCTGCCATCTGTAAGACTAAATTGTCTTACAGACTAACAGTTTGAGGAAAAATAATTATTCCACTGCGAAAAGAGCACTACAGAGCGTTTCTTTAGTTCAAAGCTCTGGCATACTGGTAAAATTAATGTGCTTGTTGGATGGAAGAGCCACTGCTGATTCCCTCGTTGTTCACGGTGGGAAGTGGCTATTAAAGTTTTAATGCAAGTTTGTTTCATGGCCTGAACAAAAATAAGCACCTCAGCGCCATGACAAGGAACAAGGCAATAGTATTACCCTTTAAGGAGAAAATACTTAAAAAAATTATTTCTTGCTCACTTTCCTTTAGCTGGTTCACCACTGAATGGCGATAAAGACATTTTACACAGATTTTGAGAGTAACTAAAATAAGGGCGCTGTGCAAATTTGTAACAAATTAGTTCAACAAAAATAAATCCCTATTCATTCACAATAAATATAGGAGTAGCTAATAAATTAAAACAAGTCACTAACAAAACAAAAACAAAGAAAACTTTGGTAGTTGGATCTACTAAAAATGTTTACACTTTTCAATGTAAACAAGCTTCTAACATTTCAACAAATAATTTATTCATTAATACTTTTCCCTCTTTATGAACGGATGACCAAAACCTTCTTATTACCTGATCTGCTTGCCTTAAGATAGGAAGACACAGAAGCAAATTTTGAGTATGACTCACGCACATATTAGGCCTGAAATCATAAACGTCAAACACTAAATTATCAATATGTGCTGCAAAACATGTCAAATTTAGTTAAATTCAAATTCATTCATCTCAGTTCCTGAGCAATTCAAGTTATACAACTTAGGTGTTACAAATGAAATTATAATTAATTTCCACATACAGAAAGGCAAAGAAATTTGCAAAAAGGATTGCTGATATGGCACATTCTTGCTATTTCAACTGCCTTCATTAGCCTTTATTACATGCAAAAACGATACGGCAAAATTAAGATGCAACTGAAGCTAAAACATTTTTGGAGGCCTTATCAGCATTGCTTCATCAGTTGCTTCAGTTTGGATTTTCCACTTTTGTTTCTACACCTGAAGAGGGTTAATGAAATTAAATGAATTGGACATGGTGTATTAAGTGTTCAAATAGAATAAAGCGAAAGAGTTATATCTACATTGCTGTGTTTCAAAATTTCATCTCCTACTCTAATGTTTTGTTAAACCAACCATAATTTTCACTTGAAATTTTGTTTAAATAACCTTCACATAGGCAAGAAAAATCGCAACATTTTTGAGTGGGGATGTTGATTGGTTTCCTTCCAAAACGTTAAGATAGGTGATGAGATTTCGGGACTTTGTAATGTCGATGTGATTGTTTGGCTTAACTGTATCTATTTAGCAAAAGTGCTTCTAAACTCATTAGGCAAATAAAGAAAAAAAGGTAACTCAACATGTCACCCGATAAAGTTAGCTACAACATGACTGAATTTCCTGAGGTAAGACCTTCCTGATACTATAAACAGAAAGAAAAAGGGATTTTTGGTCGACATGCATACTTGAAAGTGTCAGTGAGCCAAAAAGATTTTATAAAACACTATTAAATTGAATGACATAGAGAATAATGGGGTATGGACTGTAAGGGCTGTACCTCTCATAAGTTAAATGGCGCAGCGAGGCCAGGAAAATGTTCAGATAAATGGTATGGCAATGGGTCAAAGCAGTAGAAAAGTTAAAGCATAATCCACTTCCATTCATTGGGACATTTATAACTGACATTCATGTATAGATGAGGAATACTTTGGCGGATGGGAAGAGAATAGGGAATTTTTGAGGGATTTTTGGGAATTTTTTGAGAAAATGCTGGACTGCAGCAGGCGGCAAATGTTGTGCCTTCAAAGGCCACTGACCACTGGTGATTTTTACAACAGTGACAATGTTAACGGGTAGAATAAATATTGATAATGGAAACACTAGAAACTTACCTAATGACAAAGACACACTCTCCAAGTGCAGATAAAATATTATCTCGAAATTTCTTCAGTGATACCAGCTCATCCAATCGGACGTCAGAATTTGCTAGTACAAGAGCTTTCAGCAGGTAATATTCCTCCTTTGCGATAGATAATCTTTCAAGTCTCTCAATTACTTGCAAACACTGTAAAAGAAAGACATTCATAATTAACTTGTTTTAAAACTCATCCATTTTGTAATGTCCAGTCCAAAAAATCTTGATTTTGAAATATGCAACAGTCAATTTTCAAATAATACAGGGGTTGCCCCTACTCTTTGCAGAGTTTCAATTTTTCATAAAAATTTTAAAGAACAGAATTCTAAAAAAATTGCTCTGGAGGAAATACAATGAGAGACATTTCAATTCACTTCACAGCTGAACTTCTGCATTTCAGCTAAGATTTTTGACGTAATAAAGCTGCGCAGACCTTGAATTTTGGATCCAAACCAAAACCTTTTTCTTGTTGTCTTTAGAGAAATCATCTATTTCACACAAATTCTGTTGAAAATATAAAAAAACATCTGATGATCGAATTTACTCAAAGAATCAGTCAGTCAATTATGATAAAGGCTTTGATCACATAAAAATTAATTAGTTTCTGAGCAACATTGGAAAACCTGAGAAAATAAGAAAATTGTGAAGAAACTTTTGATCAAAGGACTTTTCGTGTTTTAATCCAAGAGCCTGAATCATATTTGAGGACAAAATTGTGGCACAAGTTTTGACCACTCAAATTTGCACTGTCACAGAAAATGGTTGTGTGCCACATAATGGCACACTCTACAACATGGCAGACGACCATTTTCCGTGGCGGTGCAGATTTGAGTGGTCAAAACTTTTGTCATGAGTCTGTCACTAAATATTGTCTGGCTTTCAGACTATATTTTCTGAAGGCAAATAAATGATAAGTATCCGCAAAACTATTACAACATAGAAAATGACCACGATCAAACAATAAAGCATGTCGCTGTAAAATTCAAAGTACTGTGCGGTAAAACCTCAAAAAATCATGGACTTGTAGACCCAACAAACCATGCAACATTTCCTTACGGGAAATTAAGACAAAATGATAAATAGTTACAAAAGAAGGTGAGGAAATATTGATACTTACCAACTGATAAATTTCAAATGCACCACAATCTCTGGCTTGTAATTCATCTAAAGTAAAATCAGTGGCAAATCTTAGTTTACCAGAGCTAAGAGGTAACGAACGGTATGACAGCGTCAGAGTGAGAATTTCTGCCCAAGATGCCTGAAGAAGCCTCATTTGGTCATTCAAAGACAAATCCGTGAAGCCTGGATGAAAAAAGAAAAGAAGTTAATACTATGTCGAAATTATGTTGAAAACCTGGGTAAACAAAGATTTCAAGTCTGAATTTTTGTGAATATTCTGCTTCTCTTCCGAAAGGGGTGGGTGCAAAATCGACAAAATTTCCCCCCTCATGGATGTTGACCAAATTTCAGTATGTCATTCCTCACTATGGGATACGCCTTTTCCCAAAATTTCACGGCCTGAAACGAATTTCTCTCCGCGTAGCAGCGTTGCCAAGTTGAAAACCGTCGAGTTCCATATCTTTTGAACGAAAAGAGATATTGAGATGCGGTTTGCGCTAAAATTCTCCAAAAATTGCGTTCTTTCGATATATGTACTCAATTTGATCGTTTAGGTAATTTAAGATTGCAATGATGCCATTTTTCACACTTTCTTAAGGGTCAATTTTTTTTCAACCCTAGTACATCATCAAATGCCGGATTCTTGATTCAAAAAAAAAACTGTTCATTGTATTATTCGTACTTTTCCATTTCTTTTGATATACTATAGCTCCCAGGGAAACGATTAGTAACGGAGATATGAGCAATCTAAGTTTACGCTCCGCGCGCGCCGACCGGAATCCGGGCGCCGCGCGCCGCTCGCCCCTCTGAGAATCCGGGCGCCGCTCGCCCCTCTGAGTCGTCTGCACACTCCCTTTCTTAAGCTTCACGAGGTCATTCCTATGTATTTTTTTGCGTACTTTCCATTTCTGGCCTTTGAAAAGGGCTCCGATGAATTTTTAGGGGCCTCGCGGTCCATTGTTGCCATTTTTTGCTCGTATTTAGGGTTTTTTCCCTATTTTACTCACAATTCTACTGAAAAACTTAATTTAAACGGAAAACTGTGTGCGTTGAGGGAAAGAACGTAAAGAAGAAATAAAAATTCATGTAAAAATTTTTCCTTCGTTGCCAAATTTTCGAGAAAAATCGTACTAAAGAGCCAAATATTTGAAAAATTGGATAAATCCCCACGCCATGGTTTATGAAAGTGGGGCATAGCTTTCATATTGACGTACTTACGTAACAGATCTTACCTATCTATACAACATATTAAAAAAGCATAGTTGTATTTGGATTCCCACGATCTGAAAATTGTCCGGGATGTCACCTTTTGCGGTCTTTTCTTATGTGTAAGGTAGATCTTTTGAATGTTTTTCGACCTTTAGTCATCCTCCGTAGGGGTGTATCGTAACCATATGTCGTAGAACGTAGAAGGTTTTAGGAAATGAATAATGACTTTCATGCAGAATTGAAGAGCTTTTCCGGAAAAAGGGCACATACCGAAAAAACGTGTTGTGAGAAAAACGCATTTGAAGTTTTCATTCTTACTTTCTGGCCACTGATGATGACATACATCGGAACTGGGGCACTCATATCAACGTTCATACACTCCAGAATGAATAACGGCCATTGGTAAAACTTACACTTCTTCCAGTGTTGTGGGAAGAATTTTTTAAAATTATTCGTTATGTGCCCTTTTCCTGGAAATGGACCAGTGGTCATAGGTTTTGGCTTTTGAAGCTGAATTTTCGAGACTTCAACGAGTTTCTAAACAAGAGTAAATAATTCCGATTGACTAATAAATAATAATTTCAATTGAGAACGCGCGGGTGGATCATCTTCGATCATTAACAATGAAAAAGACTGCGAAACACGCGAAAAAATCAAAAAATTCAATCTCACACGAGACCATAAAAAATAAATCATTAATAATTAAAAAAATTCACGTGTGACTGGTGCAACGCGTAGAGAATCCCTACAATCCCTGCAACCCGATGCTATTGCATTGATTAGCAGAATCAGTGCGATGCATCTGTAGTGAGGTATCCTTATCAGTACCCATCACCTCCCTGCCTGCCCGCGCACTATCTCCTAAACGTCGCGGCGAAAGTACCCAGAAGCAAATAGATGAAATACGTCTGTGACCCCTGACTTATTCTTAGCCTCAAAAAACGTGGTCTCGTAGCTCCAAAAATTGATCAATTAAGCTGAAACTCGGGGCATTGGTACATTAGGATACAAGGAATCCATTTCTGTCACCTCCGATAGAGGGCACATACGCGTATGTGCCCTTTTTCCGGAATGCTCCTCAATTGTGGGCTTCTCTTCTCATGCAGCCTCTCTGCCCCTCATCTTGGGGAAGTGGCCCGTAGCATTAAGTCATACTTAAAATTATAATTATAAAATCAAGTCGAAGTCATAATTCACTTTCCTAGAGACATCTTCGTCATAATTAATCCAATTTTTGGCACTTTAGGACGATTTTTCTTGAAAATTTGGCAACGTCAGAATAAGTCCTTACGAACGTTAATGATGTACTTTTTTACGTTCTTTTCAAAAATGAAAATTACAGCAAAAATACATACGATACACCCCTACGGAGGATGACTAAAGGTCGAAAAACATTCAAAAGATCTACCTTACACATAAGAAAAGACCGCAAAAGGTGACATCCCGGACAATTTTCAGATCGTGGGAATCCAAATACAACTATGCTTTTTTAATATGTTGTATAGATAGGTAAGATCTGTTACGTAAGTACGTCAATATGAAAGCTATGCCCCACTTTCATAAACCATGGCATGGGGATTTATCCAATTTTTCAAATATTTGGCTCTTTAGTACGATTCTTCTCGAAAATTTGGCAACGAAGGAAAAATTTTTACATGAATTTTTATTTCTTCTTTACGTTCTTTCCCTCAACGCACACAGTTTTCCGTTTAAATTAAGTTTTTCAGTAGAATTGTGAGTAAAATAGGGGAAAAAACCCTAAATACGAGCAAAAAATGGCAACAATGGACCGCGAGGCCCCTAAAAATTCATTGGAGCCCTTTCCAAAGGCCAGAAATGGAAAGTACGCAAAAAAATACATAGGAATGACCTCATGAAGCTTAAGAAAGGGAGTGTGCAGACGACTCAGAGGGGCGAGCGGCGCCCGGATTCCGGTCGGCGCGCGCGGAGCGTAAACTTAGATTGCTCATATCTTCGTTACTAATCGTTTCCCTGGGAGCTATAGTATATCAAAAGAAATGGAAAAGTACGAATAATACAATGAACAGTTTTTTTTTCGAATCAAGAATCCGGCATTTGATGATGTACTAGGGTTGAAAAAAAATTGACCCATAAGAAAGTGTGAAAAATGGCATCATTGCAATCTTAAATTACCTAAACGATCAAATTGAGTACATATATCGAAAGAACGCAATTTTTGGAGAATTTTAGCGCAAACCGCATCTCAATATCTCTTTTCGTTCAAAAGATATGGAACTCGACGGTTTTCAACTTGGCAACGCTGCTATGCGGAGAGAAATTCGTTTCAGGCCGTGAAATTTTGGGAAAAGGCGTATCCCATAGTGAGGAATGACATACTGAAATTTGGTCAACATCCATGAGGGGGGAAATTTTGTCGATTTTGCACCCACCCCTTTCTGGATTCAAAAACTTATTGATGTCAAAACTGCACATAATTAAAGAGTATATTTTCATTAATATGTACATTACTTTTTTTTATGAGAGGAATGCTTTCCATTGAAAATTTTAATGGTGTTTAAAGCCGATATTCAAAGATTACTATTTCACAAATGCTTAAACATTCCATTGTATTCTGTGATATGATAGATCTCTGATTGAGAGATGTTCGTCTACTTTACGAGATGACTGAATTCTTTTAATCCAAACAGCTCCCCACTGCCATCAGATTAATGCACAATCATTGGAAAGCAAGTAATAAAAAACCTCTTTTTTAAATATTCTGCATTAGCAACCTGCGTTTAAACTAAAGGTTTCACGGCATAAGATTTCATCAAATAGCACGAACCTTAGACATGGAAATTTATTAAACTTAGGAAGGGTTTTTGTTTTTTTTTTTAAACTGAGAGGAAAATTCGTTCTCGGACTGCCCTGATTGAAGACTTTTAAATTGAGGATACAAAGCGATAAAAACAAACCAGGTATTTGCTTGGCCCATCCTATAGTTCCGACAAGTTCTCTGTCATACAAGTCACTCAGGATAGACAAGATATCCACAGCTAAGGAGGAACTGGACAAACATGACAGCATGTCTGGCTCACACTGTGTTAGAGCCTCTAACATTTTGTTATCTGCAACCCAAAATGGAAAGTTAAACAAAGATAATTGTTGTAATTTATAATGAAAAATCGCACAGAAGTTAGAAATTCTGACAACTTTTACTAACGAGGCAAATGGTACTAATCTTTAAGAGAATACTGAACTGTGCTGAGTTATTCATTGTTGCTAGTTGCTGGGATTGTACAAGCGGGATCGTTGTTCCTGCGAAAAATAGTTTTCCATAACCCGCCATACATCACTCGAACGACCACAGGAGATAAGTCGGGCATGGACTCTTTGTAAAGAAAGCCTTTCCCCTCGATGGTATCGCACCTATCTTCTGCGCTTGTGTTTTCCTTATCCTCTCCTCATTTCAGGATGCGTCGACTTGCAAGACCAGAGACCCAGAGACCAGGACTGCACATCTTATCTGATAAGATTATTCAGTCTCTTTACCGATTATGGAAACCAAGGGCTAGGTTTGTTAAGGTGAGTTGACTGTCATTGTTGCGTTGGTCTAATTTTATTGAGCAGGGGCATAAGAGAGGATGATAACAACGCTCTTGGCCCTGCTGATTGGAGCTGTTGCTCCTTTGTAGCTGTAAAATTTTACGATATCAAACTCGGTTGGTCTAAGCGCAAGTGACTCCCAACCCAGAGGTCCCGAGTTCAAATCCTGGCCAGGGTGTGCAGATTTGCAGGGGTCAGATCTTATCATTTTGGAGGAGAATGGATGTTCATTTTCCCTCATTCACCTATCCTTATATTCTCTCTTCAATTTCCGTCTGTTGGGACAAGTTGGCAAAAAAAGGTGCTTGAACTAACATTAAAAAAAAAAAATAGATTAAAAAAAAAAAATAATAAAAATAATCCTTTGTGGATATCTAAATGCTGAGAAAACAAAATGATCAGATATATTTCATCACACGACACTTACGGAAAACTATTTTTTGCAGAAACATTGATCCCGATTGTACAAAAAGTTATTACTTTCATTGCTAACTTTCCTTGGATAGAGAAAATATTGTTTTAATTTTCTGAGAGCCCTTCATACAATAAAAGTTTTGATCTATTTTGTCCTTTAGAAGGTCTAAAAAATTCCAAGACTTATGCGAGCTTGTACCAAAAAAATTGCTTTAAATCAAAAAACTTAAACGCACAGTGATAAAATATACTATCTCTCTGTCTAAATGACTCAGAGGTGTAACTACAACTGTTGATAGTAATAACAACCCAAGATAAACAATCACACCATTACCTTCTAAAGATGGAGTATTCATTATTTGATGCCATGGCTGCACAGGCTGAGGTAGTTCAGGGTTCCGACGATATTTCTGCCTTCCACCTCTCACCCTATCTAGCCGGACACCCTCTTTCAGCATGCCCATGCGAAGGCATTTTTGAAATCTGCATGCTTGACAAGCTTTTCGTCTCCTCTTGTTGATTTCACAGTCATTTGTAGCAGGGCAAGTATATTCAATATTTCCTGTAATAAATCAGAAATGATCTATGAGTAAGCAACAAAATTTACCTTCACTACTCCAAATCTAAGAACAAAAGCATGGGAGAGTTCCAAAAAATAAACTTTTTTTTTTGGCCTTTAAAATTGTTAAAACAGGACAAGTCACACATTCACATTTTGAACCTTTTTGCACCCCTGTGAGTACATATAGAGAAAAAGCAGGGTTACAAGCAAGAAATGGGACTGTTGCACCCCCTTTCCATAAATAATGAGTATACTGCATTATTCTGTTTTCATTTGCTCAAAATTTGACCAAGAAAATGACTTTTGGAGCCACCAAAAATCCAACCCTGTTTTAAACAGACAAATATCGCGTCAACAGTTTTGGTGGCATCAAAGGAAGAATTGATCACTGCGTATCCTTTCACCCACGTTTGATTAAGTACAATACAGTAGCGATGAGAGGTTATGCAGCCAGGCTTGCAGTGTCATCGATGATTTAGGATTTTGAAGTGAATCTTTTTGCTGTTTTTTTTCTTTCTTTTTTTTCAATGAAATATCAGTGCATCGTTATTTGAATCGAACATCTGTCATGTTACCTAAGATGCACAATAATCTATCCCATGGATTATCCCTCCATATGACATAAAATACAGACCAGATGGAAAACTTTTTTTGAGACTACCACTTTAAGCTTCTAAATTTCTATCAAAGAAGCTATTTTGAGCTTTTTTAAGCTTAGAAACTTGTTTCTCACAATAATTACCAAGGTGACACCTAATTTCTAGGTAATGGGTCAGTTGCACTGGTCACATGATCAAGTTTTGATGCTTAATTCTTGTAGATTAGCAAAAAGTAATAAGATCTGTCCAAACCACGACTTAACCAAGAAATCACCCTTTAAAAAGTCAAGTTTTTGACGTCATCCACCGCGGCAGTGACACCCTTGGTTTCTTCCTCTCTTGTTTGATCAGTGATGCAAAGGGTGCAACACGAAACATTTACGATGTTAAACATAAAGAAACTCAAGATACAGACAGATTTGCACTTTAAAGATCTTCTTATTATGAGATAACACACTCGCCGTGAAGAGATTAGGCGGTCAGTCAGTTCACCTCCGTTTGTTTACGTTTAACGTTGTTGAAGTTTTGCGTTGCACCCTCTATATCACTGATCAAACAAAAGAAGAAGAAACCAAGGGTGTCACTGCCAGAGTGGATGATGTCAAAAACCAGACATTTCAAAGGGCGATATCTCGGTTAATATTGAATGCAGAAAGTTGCGGTTTGGGCAGATCTTATTATTTCCACCTAATCTACAAGTATCAAGCATCAAAACACGATTTTGTGACCAGCCCAACTGACCCATTCCTAAATAATATAACAGTAGCATTGACGTAACAATGGGTAAATAATATCCGCTATAGAATAAATTACGTACCTTGAATTGTTCTTTTAAAAAAAGCCTTGCACGCCTCACAGGAAGCTACTCCATAGTGGAAACCAGAAGCTACATCACCGCACACTAAACACAAACGTCTGGGAATATCTTCTTCCTTGATCCGCTCCTGTAACATACGGAATACCGGAATAGATTAATAAAAATTAAACAAAATAATCTCATGAAAAAATGGCTGGAACTTGCGTTGGCATGCTAAACCTCCAAGATTCATACATCTTGAAGGCTACTGAAGACATGATTCTAGATAAAACCTAAAAAAAAGAAAAGAGAAAACGCAGATGAGCTAATAAAATTCTGACAGTTCTTTTCACAAATGCTACTTAAGTACTTGTGTGAGTCGATTTGGCATTTTAGGTATGATCCAAGTTAAAAATTAAATAATAATAAAAAACTATGGCAATAATTTTTAAAAAGAGTTTAATTTTAAATGACTTCAATGGTTGAGGAAAACGGTATTAATTATTTTGCCTTGCATCTGTGTCTTTTATGGTATCTAGTTTCACATCCAATTTTTCACTAAAAATGTGCAATTACAATTAGAGGAAGAATTTTGATTGGATGATACATTCATGAAAGGAGGAAACTAAATACGGAAAAGGGATGGTAGACAACATACTATTGTAAGAACAGAAGGAAAACTTTACGCCATACAGCTTACAGAAATTTTCTTATCAAATCCTTCATGTTTGTTAATATGCTGAAGCAATTATTAATCACCAAACCTTAGGTTTTAGATTTCTTGGCATTGTGAATAAATATTTTGAGCTTTGATAAGTGGTACTCAGGTGCACTTCGTTAATTAAACAAATGTATGATAAAATTAATTTTGATTTAATCTTTCAGAGATGAAATGATACTTGCAGGACACTGTAAGAATTTCATTAGTTCGATTGAAGATATAATTAGACATTGGCAACTTTTAGAGTCTCATAAATAGAGCTACGACTTCATTTCTTGGAAGTGTAGTCCTATTGTGTACTAAAAGATGCATAAGTTTGAAAACTAAATTCAAAATTGCTAAAGTCTGGAGGAATCCGAAAGCTCACCTTCAGGGACCCCTAGATGGGTAGCGTAAGGAGAAAATGCTTCAACCTGAAAATGACTTTCAATTGACAGTGGTGAACTTTCGAATTTAAGCTGAAAATTTGGAGAGGTTAGCTCATAAAAAATAAAAATGATAATTCATTAGGAAGAAAGTTTACGAGGGGAACATAAGTTTGAAAGAGGACACACTCTTTTCTCTAAAGTTGCCTTGAGCCATGAAAAGGCAAAACCTAAATGACCCAATCAAACATGTTTACCATATTTTGAGAAGAGGTGGAAGGACCTGAAGAACCACAATCCATTGGGTCTATAATGTCTTTAAGGTCCATTAAGCTCCACAAGAGGTTCCTGGTTCGTCACCAGAGAGTTGTTTTTTCTATTTTCACCAATCCAAACACCAAAACCATCAGAATCTAAGTACAAGCCATAAAAACGGGGTCTGACCCAGTAAACGCATCCTCGGAGAAACCAAATAGTCAACGGGTTAAAATTCCAGAACCTCTTTTAGCATCCACTGACTAACTTGTTTACCAAAACGTGAATAGTCTCCGGTTTTTGCAAAAAAGAAAGCCTGACTGTCAACATCACGGAAAAATGACGATCATTAATACAAAAGTCATTTTTGTACTTTAATTTTACAATTCAAGGAAAATAGATAAGTGATCGTGACTACATCATCTAGTGGGAAGAATATTGCATCTATAATCAAGAATGTGTACTTATGAATTGAGACCAAACCAAAAATTCTTATTTATGTACTTTACTCACTCACCACAATGAGAACTTGTGAAGTTGTCGCTATTTACACCACAATAGAATCAAAAATTAAAAAAATAGAATAGAGGAACTCACAACATAAAACTAATGCATGACATATCACTTGCAGAACTACATATTTCGAATGTGAAAATCAATCGCATACTAGTTGAGACAATAGAGTTCTAGATGTCTTCCTAAAAAATTAAAAGATTTGACAGAATAGCAGAATAAACATTTCAAGTACTTTATGTGTTGAATAAAATGCTATGTTTAGACATTTGGAACTCATTTCTTTCTCCCTACTTTTGTAAAATGTGGTTGCTGTAGAGCATGTGCTTTATTTTCACTTTTAGTTACCTACTTTATTTTTGACTGAACGGCATTAAAAACTGAGCTCCTCAAAACATATGACAACTCTATTCTTTCACACAAACTCTAGTTGCTCTTTGAAAGCTGAATGTGTGATCCACATAAAATGAAGGCCGATAAGAATGACAGACTAATTTTGAGACACTATTTCTTTTTTCTCTACCTCTTTTTTATGCTTGGCATATTTGGTATGAATTTTAAAGCAGAATAAAACTAGAAAATGCATCTTTCTAAAATCGAGAGCAAGTTGGGAAACAAAAATTGACTCGAAAATTCTTCTTTCAGAAACAATGAAATGGTTTTGTAACTTACATTGGAGCGAAAATAACGATTCCTACAAGTTAAAATTGTGATGAGTACACAGAAAAAATTATTTTCTATCCATCTGATCACATAATACATAAAAGTACTAGTGTGGTAAATTCATTTGTACCGACTTCAACTTGATGACAAGAGTAAATAAGTCAATTAAAACAGGGGCAATTTGTTTTCCTCTACAGTAAAAAAGGATTACATTCGACTACAGTGATGAAGATGGTAACACAATGTTTGACTTTCTTTGGCGCTAAAAACCTGCGCACTCTGGGCCAGACTAACCGCCACTTAACGAAAACTTTCAACTTCCACACGCACTGCCAGATTGCAATCGGACACACAGAAAAAAGACCTCTCCCCTCCTCCTCCTGAAAATTCTATTCGCCTTTAAATATTCTCCATCAACTGTAGATGGATACTTCTTACATGCAATTACTGCATCAACCAAATGAAAATAAATTAAAAATATCGTTGGAAATGACAAAACCAACTGAATCAGCGTTTGTGAGAATACATCAACTTTGAAAAATGAAAATAATCAAAGAAACAAACAAAACTCTGCAACAGGTACTCTAATTAATAGATAAAAAACTAAAAGTTGCAGAATCAGTAATCTGAGACACTGAAAAGGTTCTGATTGAAATTTAGACCATCTCCATTCAATGGCCGAAATTGGATGGAATTATGTATGATCAAAAGCACTGATTCAAGTGGGCACACAACACAGAGAGAAAAATGTTGACATTTCAAGAAAACAAGACGCAAAACCAATTCATTCCATTCTACTCAGCCGAAAGGGACAGATGCTAAAAGAGATACCATACTGGATTATGCATATTTTATTGCCAACTTAACAAACTCCTATTTTTTCTTTCCACCCCCTATTTTAGACCCACCATATCCCAGCCAAAAGTAATCGCTGTCTTTGGACTTAGAATTGCATTTTTATTACATCAAATATCTGCCTCACTTCTAGATACGCTCAATAATTCCCCTCTTTCTTGATGAAAAATACTATCCCAAAAAAACGGCAGAACAGAAAAATAGCTGCACTAATCTTGGCAATATAAAAAATTAAAGACACAGTCAAAGAAATTTGACTGGGAGATAAAGAAATCTTCATGCAAAGTCAGTAATAGTCAATGTCAGTTCACCACTACTTGGTCTGTGTTAACTAGTTTTTTCTGTGACAATTCAAGACCTGGTGCCTGTAAAGGCAAGTTCAGGTTCACTCATTATGAATCTAGGTGCAAGATGAATTTTACAAAGCAAATTCCTAGGTGTTATAGGACACTGACCATTACAAACTTTGAACAAGGTTTTCTTTTAGTTGTCACTAGTAATCAATTTAGAAACTTAGCTCATTTGTCTTTCAAGCTCAACTGTACGAATTTAGCATCAGATCCTGTTTACTTAATCCGTATAACTGACCCATTGATAAAAATCCTTGATTCCAATGAACAGTATTTGAGCACAAAATTAGTTCAGAAACACTCCTATGTTTAAACTTCTCCACATCAATTAAAAGAAAAAAAAAGAAAGCAAAAAACACTAAGCACAATAGCAGATTGATGCATGAGTAAAATTAAAATAGAATACGCGAAATCACAATTTTAAGAGTATCTCATGCACCAATTTTTACTTTAAGTATTTAGGAAACACCATAATAGCATCCGTATTGGCAAAAATGTTCATACTCAAAATAATGATTGACTAGTTATTTGGGCTGCATCCAAAAGCACCAAAAAAAGGTTGAGAAAAAATACTAAATATTTCAAAGATATTGATGGAACAAATCACAAATTGAAAACGCGTATAAGTGCTAGAATGCTACCTTTCATCAGTTGTTTCCCATTGCTGAAGGCATTTTAAGAATGCAATTAACAAGCGTTCCCACTGCCTCCCATCACAGAAGTACATCCATAAATGAAAACACACTTTTCCTTTTGATGTAATAACAGATAAACAACGATCCGAAAACTGATGATTCCGATAACACGGCAGAGATTTTATGAAACCAAAGTAAAAGGATGTCCTAGCGAATATGCAAGAAGCCGGCACCCGAAACTTTTGTAAAACAATCAGAATTGTATGAGGGCACAAAAATAATTAACTGACTTTATTGTGATTGATAAAGATGGAAAAGAGCATCTAAAATATTCAAATGTTAAAACGAGAATAACACATCTATACACACTCAACATACATGAAGAGAAAAATGAATAAAGAAGGGAGGAGGCTAGGCAATTTGCGTGACGAGAAATTATGATGAAAATCAGGACCCGATTGACGTGAGCACTAGTGAATGGACAAAGCCAGACTGACTCAAAGCTACCCATAGAGTTGGAAGAACAAGGAAAATGGATCATGGGGCAATGACCAGCATCCCAGCCTCGTAACTATTCCGATTCAAAATGTTATTCAGAAAAAGTGTGACAAAACATGTGACGAAACCGTTTCATAATCTCAGGATCTATGTCCAGAATATTTATCACATATATTATGAGAGATGATGTCCTCCTATTCTATTTGGTATTTGTTTTCCCATTCGGAGTGTTACTGAAATAAAAATGCATCTAAACAAGAACTGGGACTCACGATTTTACTTTCAACTGATGCGCAGGTAATACAAAAAAAAGGACAAGAAGGAAATCTTCAGCTGTTGTCTGGTTGGAAATCAATGAGACCTTACGTCACAGAATCGCAGAATTGGATATTAACTTTCCTACTCATTCAGGGTTACTCATTTATTTTTACTTACATTCTTGATGAACCCAAACTACGGACGACTTCTTAATTCATTCAAAATTTTCTTCAAGAAATGAAACAAATTGGGAGATTTCTAGAATCAAACCTTCCGATAATCATCATAGATTAGCTCTACATTTTCACAAAGTATTCATCTTCCTAGTCAACCTTTCCGGTCAGACTTAGACACCCAATGGTTTTTCTGATTTTCTTTGTTAGTTATTCAACGTCATAATCTAACAGCTAGTCTATTATGGTCATGTGAGCAGAATGACGGAAGACTGGCTTCCAAAAATGATGTTTGATTGGGTTCCTCCTGAGAAGAAATGAAGGCAAAACCCAGTGAAAGGATGGTGACGGAGGGTTTTACAAAAAATGAGGAAATGCCAGTTTCCAGAGTGGGTATGGAATGATAGGGGTCTGTGGCGGTCAGGAGTCGCAGAGCGCCAGAGAGCGCTGTAGAGGCGGCTCTTTACGTATGTATGGTTTTTGCTGCACTTTGCTGAAGGGGATTGCTGGTAGGTAAGGCCATATCAATAAATCAAAATAAAGAAAACCTAACTCTGGTGATACATATAGCTGGACAACTTCCTCATGATTGGAATACACCAATTAGGTATTTGATTGAATCTCTCGTCAACTGGGAAATTTCCAAATTGAGGAATAAATTAAATGGATTAATCTTCTCTTGCACATGCAAAGGGTTTAGAAGCATAAGCTGGGCGATTTTTACTCTCAAATTATTAGCGACAAAACAAAAGAGCATCACTGGAAACATTAAAAAACAGTATTCAATGGCAGCTCAATCGGAGATTGATTGCTGGACGTGTCTAGGCTGTTGTTATTCTATTTTAGAAATCTTATATGAATCAGGGATTAGATATTTAGATTTCAAGAGCAGAAATGAGAGAGAGACAGACATGGTGTCAAATCTATTGGAGTTGCCTTGTGGAGGGTTGAGATATGAGCAGAGCCAGGGTAAAAATTTGACTTACAAAACAGGCTCCAAGGAATCGGTACGAAGAGACAACAAAAGACATTGCCTGTTTCTCAGAATCTGATAAATGAAGAATGAAAAGTATGAAAAATATATACGAGTGACATTCAAACGACACGGCAGTCACCCGACTTCGAAATTTTTAACATTTTTGGACAAAAAAACATCCCTAAAACGTTTGTCTAATCATGAGGGGGAGCTTCCCACACAAGGAGGATACGATACAAACTAAATTGTTCCTGATAACAGCCTTTGCATATTCCTTAGTAGGAATTTTGCGGTCCTTTTGGTGTGCTTGATCTCCCTCCTTTTACCTATCTTACTTTTTAATTTTTGGAGGCAAAATGAATGTGCTAAAATTCTAAGGGAAGCCAGGCCGGCCCTTCCTGCTCACATTCTTCTAGAAATCTAAAAACCATTATCTTTGTCTCTTCTAGGGAAACATTTTGAAAATAAAATAAGAGTTCAGGATAATACTCACGTCTATAGTATCAAGAAGGGGGTCTCCCAAAGACTGTGTTGTGCTGGAACAATACTGATGATCTGGACTGCCCGGAGATGGTGCCCCATAATGTTCTTCGGAATACTTTGTCTGAAACAGATATTCAGCTGTGATTAATGGATATAATTCGAGTAAGACAATGCAAGTTTTACAATGATAGGAAACTATATTGATGACTTTGAATTACAATACTTCAAAATATCTATTCATGTGATACTTTTTACGGCATGAGCATAATACACTAGGTATAGCATGATCTTCTCGATGAGTTCACGAACAGAAAAGAAAGGTTTTCATAATTTTAATTTTTAACTTTAATTTCATGCAGAGAATGGAAAACATAAAAATTAAAATTAATGAGTCAAAATCATGAATAATTTCTAAAATGATGACAAATATTCTTAGAAACACTTTCCGCTGCAACTTAAGATTTGAAATTTAGGAGGCATCTTGATAAAACTGGATTGGCCAAGAAGCCAAGATTTTAAAATTCAATGGATCAGTTGTGCTACGAATAAAACTGCGTTTTGATGGTTGAAAATTTTAGATTCCCAAAAGACAGTTTGATCGGTCCAAACATCAATTTTGCACATCAACCGAGATAATACCCCTCGCTTTTTGTAACAGCACAGTTATGATATCACCCACAGCAGTTCAGTTTCCTACGGCTTTTCCAGTCTGGTTTTATCAGACCTGTATTCTTTAAAATTTAAAGGTTTCCAACAACACAAAACGATTATTTCCCAAACACAACTGATCAAGTTGGATGAATTTTTGAAAATTCAAAAGAGACATCTCACTATTTTGCGTAAATTATATGCTTGCGATTTTTTTAAACATTCATTAAATACTACAATTTTTCTTGAAAAGTCCAATAAAGCCGAGATTTACCACTTGTAAACGAAAAAAAAATATTAAATGCTATGCATAAAGACTATGGCTTCATGTAATACATTTCTTGGTCCATAATACGTTTTTAACCCAGCAAAAGTGGGACAATGCTGAAAAAGCATCAAAATAAGGTTTCCATTTTTCTATTGAATTGCATTATTTTTATATCATTTGCCGTACACATTCCGATTTCAAACGATAGTAGAAATAAGTTCTGCGTATCAGAAAGATAGGCAATTTGCGATGCAAATAAAAATTGTAGTTTATTTCAATTTCACTGCATCAAATTTCGATAAAAAGAGCCCCTTCAATCAGTAGATAGGCAACATACAGGGTGTACCAAAAGTCCGTCCCACCCCTGCTAACTTTTGAACGAATTGAGCTAGGGTAATGAAACTTTGGGAATGTTCCTATCTCAAAGGGGACCATCTTTTGGGGGGGGTCAAAATTTTGGTCCCCCCTCAGGGGGGGCGCAGGGGGCCCCCAACTTTTTTTTTTCAAATGGCAACCCCTATCTTGTGATACATCATTCGAAAGAACATAAAAAACTAAGAATTTTGGCGCAAACCGCAGATCAATATCTTAATTTTTGACCGAGTAATGATAGGTCAAAGGTCAAATTTGACCTATTTTCAAAAAATCATAACTCCGGTTGAAATTATCGTAAAGAAAAAAATAAAACGGGAAAATTTACCAAATTGTGTCCGCTTTTAAGTAAAAATTGCAGAAATCACTTTGCTGTAATTTTAAGGGGGGGCTCGGGCCCCCAAATACGTCAATTCAAAGGTCATTCAATTTTCCCGCGAAAAAAGGCAATTTCCCCTAGATTTGCCTCCACATTATCTCAGTAAGGTCAAAATTAGTTCAACATTACGTTGGCAAGTCCCCAAATTTCGGGAAAAGTTAAAAAAAAACGAAATTTAAACGGTCAAATTTAATCACCTTAAATTTCGTTTTTTTTAACTTTTCCCGAAATTTGGGGACTTGCCAACGTAATGTTGAACTAAATTTGACCTTACTGAGATAATGTGGAGGCAAATCTAGGGGAAATTGCCTTTTTTCGCGGGAAAATTGAATGACCTTTGAATTGACGTATTTGGGGGTCCGAGCCCCCCCTTAAAATTACAGCAAAGTGATTTCTGCAATTTTTACTTAAAAGCGGACACAATTTGGTAAATTTTCCCGTTTTATTTTTTCTTTACAATAATTTTAACCGGAGTTATGATTTTTTGAAAATAGGTCAAATTTGACCTTTGACCTATCATTACTCGGTCAAAAATTAAGATATTGATCTGCGGTTTGCGCCAAAATTCTTAGTTTTTTATGTTCTTTCGAATGATGTATCACAAGATAGGGGTTGCCATTTGAAAAAAAAAGTTGGGGGCCCCCCCGCCCCCCCTGAGGGGGGACTAAAATTTTGACCCCCCAAAAGATGGCCCCCTTTGAGATAGTAACATTCCCAAAGTTTCATTACCCTAGCTTAATTCGTTCAAAAGTTAGCAGGGGTGGGACGGACTTTTGGTACACCCTGTATACAACGCTCTAATGCAGTAGTGCAGATTTTACCGAGCGATAGCGGTGAATTACTATTAGTGCGACCTGTGTTCCTTGGGTGGTTGGACGTCTTGGAACTATTCATTTCAGGATAAATACTAGATTCAAAAGATGAGATATTTAAAATGAAAGGTCATGTGTCATGAGGGCTTTTTTGGCCCTAAAATTTAGAGGTTTTAAGAAAAAAAAATTCTATGTGATGAATTTTTCATTTATACATCATCACGAGGATAGTATTTAATATCCGAATTTAGGTCTCTTCCTTCTTTCCTCCACAAATTTCGCGGAATCGATAAATTTTCAATTCATTTGCTCTGATTGAACTTTTATAAACTTGGCTGTTTGTTTCCTCGCAGTTAAATTACAGATAATGCATCGAAAAAATGGTTATTTTGCGGTACACACGATAAGACTCAACTGCAGACGCCGAATACTACCATTACTGCCCATATCGTGCGATACACTTAGAGAACTAAGCCGAAGTTTTAAAATAATCAATAGGAAGAGAGCTCGAGATCGTGCAAAAAATTGGAATGTGACGAATGAGACATCAAAATACGCAGTTTTGTTGGAATTTCATGTCAGATCTCACTAATGGGAGATGTTGCATGTGTGAGGAATTTGCGATTTGACTGTTGATTCTTATGTAAAAGTTCGCGAAAAACACGATATGGTCACTGGTTTTCTCTGAAATCATCTCCCAAGCTCAAAAAAAGCTCTCAAGTTGAGGCCAAAATGGAGGGGATATCCCACGCTATCCTGAGAGTCCACGTCTACATCAAGACAAACTCTCCATGCAAAGATAGGGAGACAATACATTAGCAGTGATGCCGTGTTTTCAGTTTTAGAGTCCCCAAATAAAGTGGCAGCCCTGTCAGTGTATTTGCTCCCTATCTTTGCATGGAGAGTTTGTCTTGATCTAGAGGTGAACTCTCAAGATAGCGTGGGATATCCCCTCCATTTTGGCCTTAACTTGAGAGCTTTTTTTGAGCTTGGGAGTTGATTTCAGAGAAAACCAGTGGCACCATCGTGTTTCTCCTGAACTTTTACGTAAGAATCAACAGTCAGATCGCTAATTCCTCACACATGCAACATCTCCATTTTATGGGGTGCCTCGAAAGGAAAATTTCACGAGGAAACGAATGGAACCACTTTTAGAATCTCAAAGTTTTATATAAACGGAGTTATGAGCGTTTAAAGTTTCTAAATTCTGTCCGAACTCTTCCATTGACTCGATCTGCTAAGCGGCGGACTTTTGGTTGGAGGAGGATTTCGAAAATTTCAGGGGTAGAAAAGGTGGAAAAGGCTCACGTCTTCGGTGTGAAGATGAAACCCGGAAGTAGTGGTGGGAGAGTACTGGAGTGCCGTGGAGTTGTCCGGGGGTGAGCAATCGAGGCCCCCCGCCCTCGCCCGGCCGGAGCCGTCTATCTCCTTCTTGATTATCACCATCTCACTCACATTTGTCGCTCCCACCGCCGTTGCCACTGGAGGGCCCTCTGACATCATTGAGACCTGGAACACACACAAGGCAAAACAAATCATGAGTCCATTGCGCATCTTAAAAGCGACAACTTCAACTTAAATCATAGTTATTCTGGGTGCAAAACACTTTAGGATCCTAAATTTTGAAAAAAGAAGTGTCCAACTTCGAAACAAAAGAAAAATTTTGGTAAACTGAAAATGAAATCCCGTCAAAAACAAGGTGTCTGCTAAAACTTCACGGAAAAAAATATTGGGGGATATGTCCTAAAATTGTATGCTACACTGGAAAAAAAAAACACATTGGATCTAGAGTCCAGACTCATGAAAACATTGACAAGAAAAAGGACTCTTGATCCAATCAGATTTAAGCTTAAATCAAAAGGAAATCCGCTCAAATTAAGAGGCTTGGTTCTTAATTTAAGCTTAACTCTGACTGAATCAAGAGTATTTTTTCTTGTCGATGTTTTTAAGAGTCTGGACTCTAGATCCAATGTGTTTTTTTTTTTCCAGTGTGTCTACTAAAACTTCACGGAAAAAAATGTTAGGGGATATGCCCTAAAATTGTGTGCTGTGGATGATACGGAAATTTCCGATTAATTTTGCGGTAGCCTCTTGCGATATTACCGTAAAACTTGGGTTAGTAACCTAATTTATTGGGGTACTACCACAATTTATACAAAAAAACCGCAGGGCTGTTTAAGACACAGTTCAGAACGGTGTTCAATGCCACTTCCGAGATATTACTAATTATAACAGGCATCGGCAAATTATTTCTGAATTTTGCCTCTCATGTTAGGGGATATGTCCTAAAATTGTGTGCTACCCCAATTTGTTGGATGATACGGAAATTTCCAATTAATTTTGCGGTAGTTTTTTGCGGTATTACTGTAACACTTGGGTTAGTAACCTAATTTATTGGGGTACTACCACAATTTATAGAAAAAAACCGCAGGGCTGTTTAAGACAATGTTCAAAATGGTGTTATATGTAGATGCGGCTTCCGAGACATTACTAACTTATTAATAACAGGCATCGGCAAATGATTTCTGAATTTTGCAGTAAGTAAGCGAGGTGTGGATTCTATACAAATCTGGAGAGACGATTATCCATGAGCTGATAATAAGCAAAAATTACCACCACCTAGGGAAACGCAAGCCACCGATAGTCACTTATTATATGAGAGGTTATCTCCTGACACAGCCCTCTCCCAGCATGCTCCTCAAATGAACCGTTCGTTTTTAAAAGGACCCAAGCAACAAACACTCTTGTGCATTGCTTCCCCTTATCTATCACGACTTCCACAACGCTGATGAGTTTTTACAACTTGGGCCCTTTTCAAAATAAACGGTCCAAATAAACTCGTCATGAATTAAAATCATCCATCAAAACTAGCTTCTGCAACAAGAATCTGCACGAAGGCTACTGATCGCGTAAAACCTGAACTAACCACGTGTGATAGATTAGAAATTAATTTAAAGTTAATTCTAGCTTTCTTTCGTTTTGAGAGAAAAGAATGGGCAGATGTACAATTCGTATTTTTTTAAACTAAAAATGTTCGAATAGAAATCATTCGTCTCATGGTTCTGCTCTCTGTTGATAGGCAAATTCTGTTCACTCATTGTCAGTGACATTTGGCTGACTTCTACGACGGAAAACTGAGAAAATTGTGGGGAGGGGCAAAGGAGGGACGTTCATGCTACACATTTTCTAACACTTAAATGATCATATAAGTGAAGGAGGAAAACTTACAGTCATTTAGACTGTCTAAAAAAGTTCCAAATTTAGCGATTCTTTCCATTTTATTTGACTTTTTGAAATCACCGATTTAAACACGTTCGTAAAGAATTATTAAGAAGTATTCAGATTTGGTTGTGAATCGCTGGATGAAATTTTATACGAAAACATAATAAATCGGCCTTTATGTTAGGGATTATCATCGTTTTTAAAAAAAAATGGTGGAAAAACAAATAATAAAAACAAATATGAAAATTTTTTTAAAAAAATTAATCAAAATAAAAAACTAGACGAATTTAGTCAAATATCTCATCGGGTAAGGAATTCTAAAGGTAGTCTTTTATCTACGTTCCATAACATACGGTAGAACTGCAAAACCTTATGCGCGGTTTAGATATTGAGATGATGAAGTCACTTAAATCCTCGACAATAATTACTGATGTTTTAACAATTTGAGGCTCAAGAAAACTACCACCAAATTGAAATGAAGAAAATTCATTGAAATGAGGGGAGGAGCTTCAGGTAATATAAATAATTTAAGAAAAAGAAAAGGATGTTAATAAAAAGAATGAGGAGGAATACAGAAGCAGAGCGGAGCATCAAAATACGGTGGACATTTCAATGTCTTTAGATAGAGCAAACTACGAAAAAGCATTCGAAATAACTTCTGTAACGTTCGTTAGTGAAGCACAAAAATTGAATGATCAATTTTCCACCACGAAGAAAAATTATTGACACGTGTGGTTATTTAGTTGTATACAACAAGCAAAACAGTAACGTGAACTAATCACTTGTATCGCATAACAACGCACACGCGTTGGAGCAGATTCTGATTAGAAAGAGATTGGCGAAAATCAAAACAATACAACAATCAATCAGCGAATTAAAGGCTACTTTTCAATGTTCAGAATCTTTTATCTCTTTTTAAGACGAAATAGATGACGATATGAAAAAATAAAAAGTTAAGATCTACGTCAATAGACGCTGATGGGGGAAAAGACAAGAAGACCCACGGTTCATTCGTTGTTAAGATAAAGATGCGAGTTCTATCGGCTAGCATATCTGCATTGCATAATTTTAGCTATCGAACTTTTTAAAGTTACATCACCGACGTAATCCGTTATTTACTTGACGCAAAAGTTAATCGCGGCAACTTTTCTAATTTGAATGAAGGGAAGCTGATAGCTGATGTATTCTAATTGATGATTTTAGTGGTAGCACGGTGCTTTTTCGGCGAATCAATGAACTGTTGATGACCACGCGCAATTTGATACACAAAAAATGAGACTAGTGGTTAGACATAAACAGTCAAAACACAAACAATGATAAGAGTTTCGTGTTAAGTATAGAAGTACAAGTGGGCGCACTACCTCATTAGTAAAGCTTGTTCGACTCAAACAGATCTCAATGTTTTGAGGAAAATTAAAGACTTTCTATTAAAAAGATTCGTAGTATTTTCCTGATTTTGTATCCAAAAGTACTGGTCGGACCAAGAATTTTATGAGGGAATTTTCTCAAAAAAGAAGAAAACCGATTTTTGTTTATTTCCTCAAGTTTTCACTTAATTTTTGTTTATTTTTTATCTAATTATTGAACTTGCAAATTTCCTATTAATATTTTATAATGCGTATGGATTTCCTGACCATCCTCACGAAAAAGACCCCTCATATGAGCGAAGGCACAATTTTGTATTACTTTAAACCCGCTTAAAGGTAAATGCAATTTAAGAAAACATTGATCCTGGAGGTCATTCATCCTGAGTGGTCTGAACTGAACTGGATGAAGATGAAAGACAGAAAAAAAAAGCGAGAGGAAAGCATGCCTATTCGGCATTCATCCACCGTCAATACTCGAGTTTCACGGAAATTTGTCCAATAATAAGTATCCGACATTAGTGCGGTATGATGAATACGCATTTTTCTCGAAAGCTTCACGTCCACTTAAATTAAGTGCAAATAAAATTCAGCAACAAAAAAAGAATACAACAAAATCAGAGGATCTCCAGAAAATATTAATTTATTCGAAGAATCTTGACGACAACTAAAAGACAATACGTTGTTTCCTCTCAGTGCGAAAGAAATGGAACGCAAAAAATCAGCCCTCGTAAAAATTGCAGTGGTGGTCAAGCACCCTCGCCTGCCTCCCACCGAATAAAATAAAATTAAAAAAAGAGAGAGAGTTTTACAACCAATAATAAAAAACTGCAAAAATGCATTTATTTCCCCTGGCGCTAAATAAGGTACGACATTTTGCAGTGTCAGTTAAATATCAACAAAGTTCGCGCGTACGGCTGAATGAAAAAAAAGCGAGAGGGGAATGAATAAAACATCTATGGAATTCATCAAAATTCAAGAACCAGCCTAAATTCCTGGCAACCTTCGGTTTCGAGATAAATACCTCCTTTATTAGTTTATCTACTCAGCAGCATATTTTCTGCCCACTTTTCGGTTTCGGGCAGATATTAATTTATAGCCGAGATCCCCCTGACACTCTGCGCCGAGACCGGACCTTGAAGGCCGACTGCACCGCTAATGAATAGAGCGATTCCTCGATTCACTCAAAAGTTTCGACTGTCATTAAGTATAAAAAAGATTTTCCTCTCCCTAAGTGTCCTGTATTCGTGGAACCAAAAATAATTAATTAATATATCAGAATATTTATGGAGAGACAAAAACATTTGTCGATGTAATTGAGACATAAAAATGAAAAACTGTTGTAAGCATCCGTAAAAGCCCGAACAGTTCACTGACGTTATCTCAAAATAATTTTAACCAGGGAATAAAAATAAAGAGGGGTCGTATGAGTTATCGTTTAAAACTTGCATTAATGTGGTGTGAAATTTTATTATCCACCCTAAATACCTCCCTATTCTTTGAAATAACCTGTATTGATTGTAAATATTTTGCTTTTTTAATGAGAATAGGAGAAAAACTGAAGGCAGGGTGTCTCGTATTTTCTAATTTTGAAAAATCCTGGTATTTTCCTGATATTTTATAAGAAATTCCTGTTTTTTTCATTTTGATAATTCCTGATTTTTCTCGACTTCTGGCACGGTAGGCAAATAGCAGTAAGACTTTCTCCGCTGAGGAGATTTGCGTAAGAAAAATTCCTGATAAAACGTCCGATTCTCCTGATTTTTTCCTGATCCGCCAAAATTCCTGATATTTTCCGGTTTTTCCTGATGCTAGACACCATGGAAGGGAAAAGTTTGCAAAAAAGTGATATTGATGGGGTCCCAACTGTGCAGCAACTTTTCGAACACGGCTGTTGAGGGGTGGCATATTCAACTTTTTGTG